GTCATCTGCTAAAGACTAATTGTATTAGAATTTAAATTTGCTGTTAATAAGTAAGTAGTCTGAAAAATTGTATTATCATTACCTTTACTTGCCTAAGATCAGTGGTTTTTCTCCAAAGAGTATATAGGGTATGTTTTGGTTTGGTTAGAGATGCCTCCTACGTCCAACTCCCTCTAATCCCTGGCTGATATCCCTTACTTTTCATGATATCCTATCAGGAAGGGAGAGGAGGTGTATCAAGTTTGGCACTTTCTCAATCTCCAGTTAGCTGTTCTATTCAAATCTTTTATTCTCCAGGGCTTCCCTGCAGAAAAGAGCCCCAATTAACATAAGAATGGCCATACTGGGTCAGACCAAAGGTCCATCCAGACCAGTATCCTGTCTACCGACAGTGGCCAATGCCAGGTGCCCCAGAGGGAGTGAACCTAACAGGTAATGATCAAATGATCTCTCTCCTGCCATCCATCTCCACCCTCTGACAAACAGAGGCTAGGGACACCATTCCTTACCCATCCTGGCTAATAGCCATTAATGGACTTAATCTCCACAAGGTTACATACAGTACAGTTCAGGAAACACTTTCCTTAAATTATTCAGGAGAAAATGAAAAAAAAAAATAGGCCTATTTATAACAGAAGAAATGGATTAGAGGCAAAACATTATTGATCATCTATAACTGTCCCAATTTATAGTTCATTCTCCTCCTCTTCTATTGCAATGTGTAACATAACTTGTGCTCCTGGCAGTATAAATTTCACCTCAATGATAGTTAAAACTGAGCTTTTCTAATAAAGATTTACCCTCACCAGTCCCTAATCACTTCACTGTGGAAGCACAGTATATATATATATATATACATACACAGTATATATATATATATATATATACACTTCAACTCTGAGGAAATGTAGAAAAGAGGGGAGAGTGTTGCCACAGTATATTTATTCCTTTATCTGCAGATATTCCCCTTTCAACGGTGCTCCTGTCAGATCTCCCCAGCTATACAAGTTAGGCTGAGTCATCACTTAAACAAGAGACCTCCAGAGTGCTTCAGTAAAAGGCAATATCATGGGGTGGGGCTGTCATCTCATACGTAGCATTTTCCCTATGAATCACTGCTGAACTAAGGCAGCTTTGCCAACTCCAAACAACAATTATGAGAGTGCTTAGAAGTCATGAGATTTAAAAATAAATAAAATAAACGTGTTCTTTTTATTTTCTTTCTTGTTTCTGAACCCACAGGGGTCACTCACTTCATGTTTTCAAGCTTTTCTCTATGTCAAAGAGGGCTAGAAATATACTTTTAAAAAATGAAAGCTGAGATTCCTCTGCAATCTTTGGATTCCAGCAGCTGGAAATTTAAGTAATTACACAAGATATTATAAGATATCAACAATCACATTACAAGAGTTGGCAAAAATTCTAGTGCCCTGGCCTGATGTTGGGCACACTGGTCTGAGGAGACATAAGACTAAGGCCAAGGCTGCTTCCAATAGCTTGAGGTTGTTTACTTTGGCTTCCTAGTCACATAAAAGCAAATTGTATTATTGTTGTTTCAATAAAACAGCAATTTACACGTGACTATTTTTATACATTTTCTTACATATCTACCGTACGTTTATGTGTCTCTAGTGCTTACTAATAATAAAATCGTAGCAGGCTTGTGTCGGTACAGTACTATTTGAAGTGTACAGTCAATATATTTGTCATATTTTTAATTACAATATTAACGAAAACAGGGGAATGAAATCGTAAAAAACTGTTAACTATTAACATTTATTTATATCTATTGAATCATCTGTGTTAATTGATAAATAAGGCGTATGTTAATAAGGAACAATTATTTAAATAAGGGCAAACTAAATTAAAACTATTAACTGA